TATTATGCTTTAATCAATCAGAAATCTATTAATTGATTAAACTGAATTTAATTTGTAAGATAACCCACAAGGAATTGAAATTATGTTAGCCGATACAAATAAACTACAACCATTTGTGTCAACCTAATATTCAATTTATCCATATTTTTCACTACCTATTGCACAACCAAAAGATATTACTCCATAATTTGATTTTCTAATTATTTAATCTTTAAATGTAATTAGATATTGATATTAATTTAGGCTTAATCAATTGAGTGTAGACCTGAAGCACCATGGATAAGAAGAAATGAAAGTGGTGTTTTATTCACAGATAATTTGTAATAATGTGAATTAAGTTAAACAGAAAATAGTTCTCCAGAAAATTGAATTTTTTATCGTATCACTATAAGGTTGATTAAATTTGTTTTTTGCATGAAAATTTAAATCATTTAATCTCTATGAATTCTTCATTGGTGTTTTTCTTAATTATCACTCACCTTAATCCAACTTTAGGATACATCAAATATGATACGGGATATTTCAAATAGATGGATTATCGTGTTGCAGGATTTGCCTGTATGAATTCATTCTCTAAATCATACACTATTGCTTTTTCAGGAACTTTTTTGAATATCCCTCAAGTATTTTTAATCTTGGATGATTTCGATTTGCATTGGGGAACTCAAGAATACTAATTGTCTATCACAAGCATTACTTTGACAAGTAATTTTTAAATTTATTTTAGACTTTGATGTTTTCATTAAATGTATCGCTGAGGAAGTTTATATCATGTTTATTAGATGGTATGCTATTGACGATAACAGAATCCAAGTTATAAATAGTTTTAATTTAGCAGATCCTCCTACAAGTAAGATTTTCAATCATTAATTGCCTAATGCTGTATCTGCAATTGTTAGTCCAATAAGTCTATCATTAATTGGCCAACTTGATTTTGTTTCTTCTGTAATATTGATTTAGTTAAAATAGGTTTCATAACTTACCTCAACAACAGTTACAATATCTATTAGTTATGTTGCAGGAAAGTTCGAAAACCTAAAATAATTAGGTTACTAAATTATTTTAGGATCAAATGAGATGTTAAATATTATTGAAACTAAAGTTATCACATAAATTTACAATAGTGGAGAATTTGCAAGATAAAAAAATAGTTGGCTTTTGGTACCAGTTGTAGGCTTACAATATTCAATACTTAATTAAACTATTAGAATAAGAAAAGTTTTTACATACACAACAACTACAGCATCATTTTCCTTTACTGAAACAATTATGTGTCCTAATACATTTTAAATAGTTTGGATGACATATATTACGTATAAAGCAATGGAATGTTAAGGTATGAGAATTTCATCGAAGTTCAATTGTGAAGCATCAGCTAGAGGGCCTTTTTATATATAAATTGAAGAAACAAATTAAATTTTCAATTCTATTGGTGTATTTTCAACTACTATTAGTTCAATTTATACATCTCTCCAAATAAATATCATTGCTAAATGTTAAAATGACAAAAACATGTCGAGCAAGTTTCATAAATGCAATAGCTGTACTTCTGATTAATAAACTTATTTTTTCAATCATTATTGCATTCCGAATATAAATTAAATTTCTTATTTTACTAGATTTAATATAGTTGAATCAGTTAATTAGCAACTTTCTATCACTATTACTGATACAAGTTGCTTGATTGCATAGGTATTTGATAATTTAGTTATTTCTAATACCAATATTGTGGATGTTAAACTAGTTCAATTTTGAAATAAACTTAATTTGCATTAATATATTTTAGAAATTTTCCAATTTTCTTAAATTTAAAAAACTTAAACTTTAATTTAATTTCAATTTCAACTTCTATCTATTCTTATATTATTAAAATTTTATTTCATTCTTTCTCTAGTTAACTAATGTATATATGTTTTATAAAAAATTAAAAAATTAAAAAAAAAAGTAAGTTAGTTTCAAAGTATTGATATTTTAAATTTAAAATCAAATTCTTAAACTAAAATTAATCAAAAAAACATAAAATAAGAATTT